AGACGACCATAGTCGATTTGAAGATCAGAATCTAAGTATTTGCTTGGGGATATTAAGGAAGCGACAGAGATCGACAAGGATAATCGGTAAGCTAATCGAAATTCGAGTATCTCCTGCTTGATGGCAGGTATGTTAAATAAATCGATGTGTCCTATTTTAAGGCAATACTGCAGTAGGTTACATGCCTTGAGAGAATTAAGAAAACTAAAGTCTCAGGACTCCTGGCCTTTTGCCGAAAATCCAGCCCGAAATAAAATTAAAATAGAATGAATATAAAGTTTTTTTAAAAGAAAAGAAGAAGAGAATTGTGAATCAAAGAGAGTGCGAGTAAAGACAAAAATCGAAAGAAAAATAATGAATGAGAATTTAAGACGAAAAGTGAGAAGATTTGTGTTAATATGGGAGCATAAAACATATATAGAAATACAGAATAAAATAGTCAGAAGCAGAAGAATATAGCTGAATTAAGAAAGAAGACATAATGAAAATAATAATAATAATAATAATACTTAAGGAATCTAAATAACATTAAATAAAAATTCTAAAATAAAAATAATTTTAAATATGAATATGCAAATAAAGTGTGAATACACGACTGAATGATTGAATGAATTAAGAAGAAACAAAGATCTTTATTTGGCGAACAGTTTTAATGAACAGGAACTGAAGAAAATCACGTGGGACGCGGACGTAGCATCGCGATGTAGCATCGCGATGTAGCTAGATCTTCCTGTCCGCGCTCGGAGCCCAGCCAGTACAAGTGCTGTGGCCGGCTGGGGCGGACGATGAGAGGCAAGATCTGGCATCTGCTGTGTTCCTCCGCGCGGTCCGCCAATCAAGGTGTGTCGACACTGCATTGCCCACTTTTCTTACTATAACATTCACACTTTTGTTTCATTTTGTTTGAAAGTACAAGATCGCGTGTTGCGATGTGGGCGTGAAACTTACCTCTTACTGCACGGGAAGAATAGTGGTTGAGGACATATGTAAGGATATTTGGCTTAAGAGAGAGAAATAGAGGATTCATAATTTGTACTTCTTGCCAGATGAAGATGGCGACCTTATGGGGTATTACTCCCTGTAGTCTCGTATAAGTTGACCGAGATTTAAGAGGTACTTACTGCCTCCATTATCAGCGTGATGAGTGGTCATCGCCCTGATGATAGACGCAGATAAATATTCAAAGTGATCTTCTGTGTGGATTCCATAGAGTCAGGAAATTCTTTTAGTGAGTGAGTTAATTAAATTTTTAAATAATACATGGAAGACTGGAAATAGTTATGTAAGAAATGAAATCGCTTTTTCGGAACAAAACTTTATATAATTTTAAATATGTTTCTGACTTTAATCTAAACTGTGATTTATATTATAATGTACATTACATTTATATATTATGCGATGTTATGTAAATATCTAGAGCCTGTACTTCAGAACCGCTGTTGCAATGTGTAAATTCTGCAACATTTGTTTTGGATCGAGTCCATGGCGCCTCCACAGCTACACTTTTGTTTCACTACAATTCGGTATAAATATACAGTAGTGTAACCCAACTACACATTCCTCATATATTTATTTATCGTTTAATTACGCTGTCAGTAGCTCAAGAATGTGGAGCGTCGAATGACTGCGTTTTTAATAAAAATATAATTTTAATGGCCGTGAGAGGACGCTGTCATGGACTAATGTGAGATATCCAAACGTTTGCATAGAGGGACCTGCGGGAAACTGCGATGAAACTCGGTTACTATACCAAGTATTCGGACCGAGAGTTGAAACCGGTACCTACGTGAAACAGGAATCCACGAACCCAGGCCTCCGTGGTGTGAAGCCGGCAACTAACCGCCTGAGCTATGGCACAGCCCTAGGTTGCTATCTTCCAGAGACCCAGACGGTGAATAAACTCTTAAACATTCCTACGGAGATCAGTGAACCCTTAAGGAAACATGCAAACGTCTGACGTACACTTACGCGTTTAACAGATCCTTTGGGTCATTACATTCTGTTACAGTTTTATTCTGTTGAGAAATTTTATTTCCTAGATGCATATAAAGAAAATGGATTTGTAGTAAATTCAATATTTTTAACATTTATTTGGTTTATACTTTAACAGTACCTTTTATTTTTACGTATTTTATGTATCTATATCAATTTTGTTTTTAAATAAGAAGGCATTTCGAGGGTGTGCTGTTGTAGAATTTATTAGGATGTGTTAACCATCTTTTACAGGCAATATTCTTTTGAGTATGGCTATCTTCTGGGTTGTTGCATCGTGAAAACCTCAAATCCTAAATGTATTCTTTGGTTTTTCCAAATATTTTTGTATTAGCCTATTTGTTTTTAATTTTCTTATCTTGTAATTCCTTTTACACATTTGAAAAGTTTTGTTTTGTTCCCTTGGATGTTTCTAGACTCTGTTGTTTCGTTGTGATAGTTTTAGGTCAAAATATAATTTAAGTAGTGTACGATGTATAAAAATAACAAACGTGAAATAGCAATCGTTTAAAAAATAAGTTATTATTTTTAAATGTAACGCCTAGAGCTTCATAGAATTTTTGAGACAACTATCTTTTCGTCTATTAATAAAATGTGTTATAAATTTCCACTGAAAGTAGAAGCAAAAATAATAATTTAGTAAAATTGGCTTACCATGATTTGGACTGTAGTTCAAGTTCCGATATATTTTGCAAAAACACCTTATTAAATATTTATGTAAGTAGAGCATACGGAGTGTTACAAGAGTTATTTTCTTAAAATAAAGAATAAATTGTTCGTATAAAATTGGATATTTGCATGCATTGTGAAATGGTTGATTATGTTGGTGTTATTGTTTTGTTCTGTTGAATACGTAGTTATTTACACAATTTACAATTTCACTTTTTGAACACGTATTATACTAAAACAATTTTGAGAACTTCAGCAGGTTTGGAGATATTCTTATGCCATTTTGGAAGGTTGTAACAACGTATTCATAATCTAATCGTAACATGTGTCCTGGCAACTAGTATCTAATATGCACTATCAATTTATATATTCTATGTTCACATTTTCTTGTTTTATTAATGGTTGTTGCGTATGTAATTTGACATGTGAGAAATCTAACACATGTAGTGTGTTTAAAGTAACTTTGATTTACAAACATTGGTCCAGTATCAGTATCACGATTTTGAAACTCTGTAGAGCGTGCGACAGTATACTACCCCATGCGAGTTAGGAAACTTCTCCGGCACGTTTGTCATGCGGGTAAGCGAGTCGCGCAGGCGTTTGTCTCTAATTACAATGCTTACTTTTCTCGTGTGCCATTGTACATACGAGTACTTACCTCAAGTGTAGATTCTAAGACATACTTTATGCTTACGACAGACTAGACTTCAGCTGAGCTTTGTGAATCGTGAGACATGCAGTTCATTTCTCGTTAAGCTCAGATTTTTTTAGTTGATTGAGAATTTTTGTATTATCAATTAACTGTATTCAAACGATTATTTTTTTATTATTAAGTACACTTTTCTAAACTTAAAACTTTTATTTCTTTCTGTTGAATTCTTTGTGTGAGCAGACTTGATAATTATTTACATGAAATATAACACTTGAATTATTTTAACATTACGAACTGTGACGCTCGTTGCAGTGCTAGGGTGGGGTGGGGGGGTTGGGTTGAGATTAACATCCTGCTTAATTATACTTATTGAAACTGGTATCAAGTAAGCCTTTTAGGGCGCCATAAGATTTTATTGGCTTTCTTCGAAATCTTTCCACCGAACGTGGAAGTCTTTTAACTCCCTGATGTAGACATTGGCTAATTTGAAATGAGATTTGTTGGTTGCACGCAACTGAATGGTTAGGTTATTTTATTCTGGACTGTAACACCGTCTGGTCATGTAGGTGAGTACCAACGATGAATACAAAGAACGAATCCGGTGAAAAGCGGGTTAAATCCAGTCTCTGCTACGTTGTGTACATCAGATACAACTGAAACAGCTGTACGATAGGCCTCTGTATGACACTTGAGGTTCTCACGGTAACGACGATCACATTTTTCTGGGTTGTGGACTCGTAGGAAGACACATACGTTAGGGTAGTTACTCCCTTGCTTTTTCCCCATACATTTTACATTAAATATGTTTGTACAAAACCATAACGCATTCTGTTTGTTTAAAAACTCTCTTGTCAACACCCTATCACAAATGTCTTTACATTTTACATTAACTTAACATTTTATTTAAATATTGGCTTAATATCGCCTTTATTACTTCTAATTATGGTACATATTCGGTTTCATACTTTAAGTGCAGGCTCAGTTTTTTCCTAATTTGCTATTACGTGCCCCAATTTGGTATCAGTTTTGCGTATTTTTTTCTCGCGCTAACTTTTGCTTGCCTATAATTGGATCCAAATTCCATGATATTTGCTTCCAATTTAATTTGTCTCCATTCCTTTTTCTCCTCGTATTCCAAACCTGAGACAGTTGAGACTGTAATAGTTCAGTTTCCCATATAAGAAAAGAGCGCGGAGTGCTTGATAATTTTTGCAATGCACGTGTTAAAGTGTTTTAGGGCGCCAGGAGTTAGTGGGAGCGGACATAAATAACACTGTCAGCACTTTCAGCTCCACTGTCTGTGTTGGCAACAGGAAACATGCGTTCCTCAGTTTTTATGTTCGCTGGAAGTGCCTTGTGATTTGGATGATGCAACTGATGTGTGAGGAGTTGAAACAACCATGTTACCTAATAATTGACTGAACCGAAATTCTGATTGGTCCACTTACTGAGGGGAGTGACTTACTGGCTAGACCGATTTTCGAATTTTACTGATTGGACTGACTTTCTGCATGGAAGATGACCGTCTTCTGGAATGTTGTACCGTGTAGTCTGGTACAGCCTGATAATGGAAGCTGTAAGCACCTCTGAAATATCAATCAATTTCTATCAGACTACGCGGCTCAACATCCCAGAAGACGGTCGTCTCCACACTCGAGAACCCAAAATCCCCCTTGGTTCTGTTCAGGTGAACCCAACGGTACAGGGAACCTGACTGATGTTGATGTTTCAGAAAATAATGTATCCGGCAACAAAGATGGAGGAGCCCACTGGCGCGGCGGCATCAACATCGCCAATGGGAACGGGACCTCAGTCACAGCCGGGGATGCAGCAGGGGGCGGTGAAACGGATGCATCGTTGTCCGAAGTGGCCGTCCCAGGGGGAGACAAGCTGGAGGGGGCGGACGCAATTGAGGACGACGCTATTCACCTCAAGAGACGGGTGGGACTCTTCAGTGGGGTGGCTCTAATTGTTGGCACCATGATCGGTGAGTAGGATATGAGCATCAGAAGAACGCAAACTATAAAATTGTTCTTCCATTATTACGCAATCTTGAAAGGGACTGTACAGCCTTTCAAAATAACGGTTAAGCAACAACACACCGAAACTGGGAAGGAGTAGTCAGTGAAGCAAGAAATATTATATTTTTTTTATACAGGTAGGACTCGGTTTACGCCGCTTCATTTTATGCCGGTAATCTCATGAACCTAACTCCGGCGTAAACCGAGTCCTACCTGCATAAAGTAACGTACGTATTTGGTGGCATTTCTTCTACACCACAGCGTTTGCACTGAGAGACTGGGGATAAGGAAATCCCTTATTATAATATAGAATTTCGGCGACAAATTTTAATGGTGTATGATGGGAATACAAGGCACGTTCTGCACCGTTGAACCAAATTTACTGGATCCAGCTTTACGTAATTCAGGACAAAGAGACTGAGACATGAAACATGAAACAAAAACACACTGTCAAAATAATGGTTCTGATAAAGGATAAAGTGTGGAAGAACAGTAGGAAACCGTTGCGTTTATTGTTATAACGTTTAAAACCACGTGAGGTCTGCTTCATCGGAAACCATTTTGCAAGTTAATATATATTCTATTTTTCGAAATCAATATAATCTGCGTGGAATGGAATGTCAAGACACTGTCAGCTGACGTGCTTTCAGAAACCATCATAGTCGCCCACGTACTTCAAATTTACCGCCCTATAAAATATTTGGCTCCAAGCTACTTTGCAAAACAAAAAAGCTATGAATGAAATATTGACTTGTCGTGTCTTACGTAACGTTGGTCCTACATGAATGCCATTATAAGTAACCCAGCATAAGGAAAGCTTACAACTTATTGTAACGTAGTGTAACATATTTGTTCTCGCCTTTTAGCAACTTCATACTCTCGTCTTCGGGTAACTGATTTTAATGACTCGGTCGCTCGCAGTGACTCACTGCCTGGCACTCATCCACCTCCACGTACGTCACATGTGATAAAGGAATTCGAAACTCTGGTTCTCTGACCTGCGACACACAGACGAAAGTGAAAGTTTCGTAATGTTGTGTAACTTAAATTTGTGCATCGTTGCTAATTACTATAAGTGGACACACGGATGCTCATTGACATTAGGAAGATTATCAGGAAGCTTCTGTAATTAGCGATATTTTGATTACCGTATAACTGAGAATACAGTCGGCCGCACTTCTCCGTTACTTATCCGCATTATTATCATTAATTAACGTTGTTTTTATAACTCATAAAGTTAAATTGGGTTTAATTGTCAATAGTCTTTACTATAAAAGATGTTGATGTTCATTTGGGGATAGAAGTACAGTACTGTAGTTTATTTAGGATCAGACATTTACTTTTCACTTCAGAATATAATGTAGGATTAATTTAAGCTTAGTGAGCTTTTGTGTACGTATATTATATACGCGCGCACGCACACATCAGACAACACAGACAGAGTGTTTCAGAATGAAATTCACGTACCCCTCACAACACTCAGACATCCATACTGAGTTGAAGCAAAGTCCGTACAAGCTTCTTCGCTGAGATCCAGACAGTTACGGTTGGCTTTCTTGACTTCAAAGGTTGTATAGCATCGAATTAAATGAAAAGATGATTATGAATTATGCGTATGTTGTGGTTTTCATTAATGTTGCGGTATTCGTCAGAGGCCGAGGAAAACACGAAGAACCCTTAAGCTAAACCGATTTCAGGTCTAAGATCCTAACCGGTTTACTGTAAAAAGGTTCGTGTTTGTGAGTAGTGTTACAACAGTTTGCGTAAGAGAGGTCCTCAAGAAAGGAAAAGGTGTAGATCTGATCTTCATTGTAGTTCACGTGTTTTCCATCTGGATTCATTACAATTTTGGATTGATGTTCATTTATTGCTGATATGTCATTTCTCGCCCAAATAATTACTTTTCCGAAATTCATCAGCCACAAATTAGTTGGAAAACAGTTCACTTAAAACTTGGAGACGCTATGAACAATGAAAATCAACACAGGTTGTGACAGTTACAAGAAATATAGCCTATTTTAGTAAAGGCGTTCACAATAGACGGTCAGAAAAATAATTTGGTCTCATCTTGTAATCGGTAAATGTTTTAAATAAGTATAGATCTTAATTATAATTATAATACCAGGTATTTATAAATATTTTGTACTATTCGTTTGAAGATCAATGATGTTTTATGTTAAGTAGGAGTTATATTTGAATGTTACAAACTAAACTGAATTCTTTGTATATTCCATTAATACGAAATTTAATCTCTATCCGTTCAACACTTTTTAGTTGTAGAGTTTGGACAGACTGACGTATATTTACTGCCTAAACTTCATGAAATCGCTGTGAATTATATCAGTTTCTGCGCTGCATCACACCTTTTGGGTGACTCACACTTAAGTTACGTGAGTTTCTTTATTTTCACAAACGCTATAAACAATATAAACTATTTTATAAAACCAATTATATTACCCCATATACATCCTATTTCGTTGAGTTTAATGCCGATCTGTTTCTGTCATCTTTTAAATCGTGTTATGAGTGGTATGTGCTTATGTTTTGTTCTCAGGGTCTGGAATTTTCGTGTCCCCGTCGGGCCTGCTGATTCGAACTGGCTCAATTGGGCTAAGCTTCATAATATGGGTGGCTTGCGGAGTGCTGTCATTGTTAGGTGAGTTCCATATGGAGATTTTAGCGTCTTATTACAAGATGTGTTATTGAACTTTTAATGGCTGATTGCTTATGTGTTTGTTTAACCTGTCAAGAAATACAATACAATAAACGAGGGGTATTATATTACTTGAGGAAGGCTGTTTGAATTTGGAATGAGAAAATAATATAGACAAATAAGTGTTGTTAATTACGCCATTAATGGGAGATAAAATGCTGTTTGTGAACGGGTTTCCAGAACACGCAATGAAAGCAGTGCTTAAATAACCGTGAGAAATGAATTAAATACTTGTTGTATTCGATGGTATTAGAAGATGGCTTAATAATTAACTCAAGACGAGAAGATGACTGTGTTTGGAATATTTCCCATTGTAGTCTCGTATAAATTATCATCGAGAAAACGAGTGATCGCTCGGATGATAAACGCATTAAGCAGTCATCTTCATAATCACCGCTGTCAGAATCTGAAATCAACTCAAGACTTATTGCATTTAAGTTATATTCAAAATATCCTAAGAGATATTTAATTATAAATTCCGCAATATAATTAATGTGCACGGTATGAATGAACATGTAATTCTAAAACAAATTATGTAGAAGACCATAACCTGTCAGAGCAAGACATTGTAGGTAATAAAATACTTAGAGAAGCGAAAAAATTGTGTAATTTTAGTTGAAGTTTACGTTGTAAAATACACAATGATATTGATGGAAAAATCATTATATCTGAATAGTTTCTGTGTGTGTGCCAAAGTCAGATATTCCCAAAATTCTATGAGCAATGGACATGCATTTGCTGTCTGAATCCAAATGTTAAACACTAACTAAAGAACAAGGGATACGTGTGGCTTGCACTAATAGAACAGTTATCGATTTCTGTGTCGCAGTTAGCGTGTTATTGCAGGAGTGTGACAGGCACAGAATTGTAGGTTGGCAATCGCTGTGACGCTACTTTATGACGTGTTTGATGTGCCAACTGCTACAACTCTGAGGTCACTGTTGTCTTGTCATACGTCAGTGAGAGCTCGAACCGAGGTATGGGATTCGATTCCTGGCAGGATGAGAATTCACTTGCTAATACAGCCCGACCGAACCTGGTATCAACCCACACTACTATCCAGCTCCTGCTAGGAAGTAAAGGATGGGAGAAGAGATGATTGTAATGCACTTTAAAGTGCGCCGAGTTTTCAACTGAAAAGCGTGAAGGAAAACATGACAAACATCAGTCAACAGTTGTCATAATATATAAGAAATTTTATGTGAACAAATTTTCAGCGTAAAATGTATTTAACGATGACAAAGGAAATGTATTTTGTCTCAGTAAAATGTAATTTTCGTAACGCTTATGAGATCTGGAACGGTATAAATGTATGAGAAATTTGAAAGAAGAATTTGGAAAATTTGTGTACTTCTATTGATTTCATATTTAGGTTGTGCTTCTCTTGCTTGAATGAAATTTTTTAATAACTTGAAAGTGACATACGAGAGAAATTTCGGTTAAAAATGTCCTGTTTAGTTAAAATATCGATTATTCTAAACCTACGTACTTGTGTCACTGAGGTAAACATATTAGTTATCCTTTTACTAGATTACAAGCAAATTACAATTTATTTTAACTTACAAGAGTGCACCATTGAAACCATGAATTTATCAACGCCAATTGCAAGTTCTTTGCCACCTTCTTCTAACCTGTAACTTTTAACGCAATTAAGTTTAAGTATTGTTCCATTAAATTATCCTGCATTGTGTCCTCCCGGTATCCGAAGGAGCAAATTGGGTCGATCAATAAACCGGAGGTTGCCAAGAGAAGGTCCTCATACCTTCTCCGAGGTTAATAACATTGTATTATGTTTCAAAACATAATCCATGGACACGTCAATACGGAGGGTCGACTTCATTGTCGCCGGTCAATTAAGTAAGATTTGATTTTATCACGGTGGTACTTCCGAAGATGGCTGTCTTCTGGGTTGTAGCGCCTTGTAATCTAGTACAAGTTTGACAACGTTTCAGTGGTCCTTCCGATGAGTGCCTTATCGCTCTGATGACAGAGGCAGCAAGTACCTCTGAAACGTTGGTAAATTTCTACCAGACTGCACGGCGCTACAACCCAGAAGACAGCCATCTGCTCCGATAAATTACATTTTATTTACCGTCAGTAAAAAAAAACCTTTTCGCTATTAGGATTAATTGACCTGTAACTTCGCGATGATATTCTACTGTCGACGTCAGGTGATTGTTATAAAAATCACCAATCCACTGGTGTGTTAACGTAGTTAGCAACCAGCGTTGTATGCCGTGTTGGGCTCTGGAAAACACACGTAATTGAGTCTATGAAATGTTTTTAAATGAAATTAGATTTTCATGCTTTATGTTTTGTTTGTAAACAAATTAAATCGCTGCAAGGTCTGTTATTTTGTAGCTGGTAGCATGTTGAAACCACGCTGATTCTGCTGAGCTCCTGTGTGTTCGCTGGCAGAAATTTCTCGTTGTGCAGAATGCAGAGTGCCAAATGGAAGATCGATTCTGAATGATGAATCGGAAAGGATACGAAAGATAGCAGTTGTGACGAATAATTCCAGGATTTTCCTGTGCAAATAATTTGCGTTTACTCTGCAGATATGATAGGGGGCGGTCTTTTCAATGGTATTATCAAATACTAAATAATCTGTAGTCACAAATTAATTTTTACGCGAGATATCATAATATGCACAGAAGGAAATTTATTGTTGTCAGACTTATTTTTCGAACTTCAGCAGCTCAGTTGTACTTATTAAATTAAAACACGATATAGATATTATTACAGAACATATTTTTATAAATTCGGTGAAACATGACACAGTTTCAGGGATCGTGCGTAGTATTTGATAAAAATTCTGCACGTATGGACATTAAACATAAAAATAAAATAAAAAACATCGTCTGGTTTAAAATAATAACTATTTTGAGCACCGTTTGTGTGTGTTCTATTGCAAGGTTTTCTGTTATTTTGTCTACGCCTTGTCTGTTCTTCTTTTAATATGTTTAGTAGTTTGTACCTTTGTCGTAAGCGAAGAGTGACCTACTTGGCTGATGACCGTTTTTCAACACATTTATTAATAGCATTTTAAAATCCTTTGTAGTTTCTCATGTATTTGTCGTGATATTTACTCGAAAAAAGGATAAATCATTAAATTAAAATATGCCGAGTTATATTTTTTTAATATTATGTAAGCAGTCCTATTTATAAAATATTATATGTTAGTTTCAATCCATAAAATCCGATAAAATGTGTCAGCCTCCTAGTCATTTTTCCTGTTCTAACCAAGGCTTTTAATTCAGATAATCTGATTTGCTCAACAATAAACATTCTAAACTACATGTCTTGGTCTTGGCTGTAGATTTCACTAGGCCAATCATCAGTTCTGTTTTTATTGTAGTTTTATGTTACGTAATTATATAAATTATATTGTAACAATAACATTCGAGAATGGTCACTTCACATGTTTTTCCCTTCTTCATCGTCAAGTCAAAATTTTATGACTCTAGGACACTTGAAGTCTACCAGTCAGTTATTTCTTATAAACATGTAAGTTTATATCTGATTCAGCCACAAGTTAAAAACTGGGTCGAACTGAAGGAAAATCCCGTACCTTGTCATAAAAACCTCTGATTTCAGTTCCTAAGATATAAACCTAGAGAGTACTTCAGAGCGAATGCTGGTTATTTCTGCTACTCTAGTGGCCGGACGCCAAGTTAAGATTTGTTTTAGTCCATTAATTTGTGCTGGACGCCTTCTGGCATGCATCGTCTTCACACACTGTGACAAGAACGTTGTGGCACTTACCTGGCGCCGGAAAGAAGTGTCATTGGCCAAGCATCGCTCACAGATTAGAGCTTCTGCTTGTCGCTACTTTCGTAGGGTAACTAGGATACAGTTTTTTCCTAACTTCACTGATAAATGGTTCGAATCCCTGTTCTGTGCTCCGAAGATATGGGTTTCAAATTAAGACCCGGAAATTTTTAATTTTGTTCAATTTAATATTCACATCCAGCCTAATTTGCAAAACTGTATAACCCATGACGTTGAAATCATCTTAAGTAAACCAGATATTCTTTCCAATCAATAAATGAAAACACCTGTTTCTTTTGTTATTAACCTCGGAAGTTTATCGCACGGTAACAGAATTCATGGAGAAGAAGCGAACTTCAGAAGTTGAAAGTATATAATGCGATCGATAAATTACCCAAATGTTATGGAAGACGAAATTTCATTACCACTTTTACAAAAATCCACCACTGAAAGCTATCTTGAATAATTTTGATCTAATCCCCCCCTTATTATTATAACATCTGATTTAGTATTATTTTTCCATCCTTACTAGGTCTGCTGATTGGTCACTTTAATCCAGGTTTTCGGTCTAAAATTTTGTATACATTTCTTATCCACCCCAAAGCATAACTGTTGATAAGAGTGTTTTTCAACTGTATAGAAAGACAACGTTTACTTCTAAGAAGATGGCTGTCTTCTAGTTTGTTGAGACTTGTAGTCTGGTTGAAGATTGCCGACGTTTCAGAAGTACCTCCATGATCAGGGTTGATTGTGAAGCATTTTCAATTTCTACTTGTACAAGGTTACGTGTTTTTATACAGCGATACAGTTTTATTTGTGTAACAGTTGTGTAGACGGGTTTCTCGAGATGACACACTGGAAAATTCTTTCCGCCACAGTAAATATGTGATTGCCTGCACAACATTCTTCACCTTCTGTTAGTGACACTTGAACAAAGTAGAATGGCAGAATTCCATGTTTCGAATTCTTGGTTTCCTACAATCTTTGGCCGCAGTATAACCCAGGCACTTAGATAGAGGTTCCAAACGTCGAAATACCAGAGTGCCTTTCTCGGGGTATTCAACATCGATATTTTTTTTTATCAGACTGACACTGAGACAAGGTTTTCTTTGGGTACTTCATCCCCCTTCCCGCGAGTATAAGTTCGCCAGTGATACGTTCACATCTTAAGATAAGCGACAGACCTCGTTCCTCAGTTGGTACTTCATCTCTGACCCTGGACGTAGCAGACTCAGGATGCTGAAGTTAATTTAATCACTAACAATGGACACGGAAGGCAATGAAGGATTAAAGTTTGCGTCGGAGATGCTGTGTTGATTTTTGAATAAAGTTACATGGGAACTACTAAGAATGTTCATGCACATTCAGTATTATAAATCCGTATCTCAGATGAAAGAATGTGTAAGTAGTTATTTAAATAATCTGATTTAGTATTCTGTGCTTATATTTCATACTTGATAACAGCACTTGACATTTTTAATGTGACAAAAGAACTTATTTTTTAAACAGACGGAATATTTAGTACACGAAATCCATTCCCTGCTTCTGGTATGTGAAAATCTCGTTTTGAAACCCACAATAACACATATATCATTTGCCTTGTTTAAAGGACAGAAAATGTTCTGGGATTGGATGCGCCACAAATGTTTTCGTCTAGTCCACTACTTTGTTGTGGTTATTTTAATTTTAGTGATCAACAAAAGAGGTGTTTTCTTTATTTTTCCCCTGGTGTCGTGCCAGACAATTAATTTTAACTGAGTTTTCTTTAGAAAACAACACGTTTGTATAGTAGACCCACATGGACTTACGAGTGAGCCATTCTTTGTTTGCTTCAAGTTTCTAGGGTCGTTCAGAAGCGCTGTACACGAAATGTAGTTTTGTCTATTTTAATACTAGTTTAGCACCTGTTCAGGAATAATTTCTCGTTAGTGCACATCACTGTCATGCATGTTCCTTCCGATCTAATTTTTAAAGACTGAAGAAAAGTTTACGCCTTGTTTTAGGGCTCCGAAATATTCTAAAAGCAACCATTTCAAGCCCAATAGTAACTATATTTCCCAGCTACTTCAACAATCAGTAAATCTTCATTTTGTATTTATGCGTTTCGTATTATTCTCGCTTTAAACATTTATTTTTTTCCCTTAACATCATTAATCACTACTTATCACCCTAACGCCTTCACTCTGATTCAGTTCTAACGAGAAGAACTATCGGGCATTGGCTGAGGACCTTCTAACTATAAAATGCTTTTTATTCTCCCCCAGAAATTAAGTGTCTGTCACATCTCCCCCACAATTTTCTCTGTCCTAACGAACTCTCACTTCTTCGGCGTCAAAGGTTTATCGCAAGGGGTGTTTGCCAACAGGCGCCCTTGCGTATGCCGAGTTGGGCACTATGAACACCAGCTCTGGAGCGGAGTACGCGTACTTCATGGACGCATTTGGACCAATGCCTGCCTACCTGTTCTCCTGGGTTTCCACGTTGGTGCTGAAACCGTCACAGCTGGCCATCATCTGCCTCAGCTTCTCCAAGTACGCCGTCGAAGCCTTCGTTTCGGAGTGTGAGCCGCCTAACAGTGTGGTTAAAATGGTAGCTGTCCTTGCCATAGGTAGGTACAAGACCTTCAGACCACGATTATTCGGCTGTATTTTATTATCTGAATTTATTTGGCCTTTGATTACCTCATAAACCTTTATGTTCATTCAGTGTTTTTCTATTTTTACTGAATCCATCGTTCAGCATACTAAAATTAAGTCACCACGTTTCAGGGTCTGGCTCTGTCCTTGTTTTCAGATTATAAAACCTGCTGTGGTCAAGAGATTGGAATTACCTCCTTCTAGCGGACTCAACAGAGTAGGTTTTATCGCCTGAAGACGGGGGTAGAGCCAGCCTCTGAAACGTCTTGGCATTATTTTAACATGCTAAACGATGGATTTTATACAGAAAAACAGCAATATTGAATGTAACACATAACAGTTAAAACCTTTTTCTTAAACACAATTTTCATCCGATAGATACAAATTTATGAATTTCTGAAAATTCTATTTATTGTTCTAAACGTTTATGAGTTTAACCTATTTATCCTAGAACATCCATATTTTATTGCGACGTAAATAATGTTTCCATCTGTATAGTTATATAGAGCCTATACACATGACATTCACACTCCAAATGAATTATGCATATCTTAATTATATATATACATTTTATGACGTAATAATTTGCCAGTGCCAGTGTAAATGGATATAAGTCAAAAAATTGCAACCGAACTACAATTGCTACGTTACAGTCTGTATTTCTTACCTGTAACTTATCAAAACTGTCGCTTCAGCTTTAAATTTTTGTGTAAACTTTATAAAAACTTCGTTTGTGAGAACTGTACGACTGTTGTTGATATAAACTTCGCCTTAATCTTTGTGTAGCGTTGAATTTATATTGGACCGATATAGAGCTATATGAAAGTCGAAGGATACGAAATCCTGGAGATGAAGACGGTAAAATTATCCGAAAATGTGGTATCTTCTAACTGGTCCACGCCACTATAGAACCCCAGAAGACCAACATCTACATCTCCACCGCTGTGAGAACCTCAAATGTCATGTGGACATAGCTTCCACGTTTATCATTGTCCTGTTGAACAGGTTGAAGTTTATTGACTCGGTCCACCATCAATTAACTTGTAACCCTTCTGCCTATATCGTCTGCAGTATTCGGAGAATATTCTCAGTGGGGGTTGATGGAGATACCGTGTCGGCAGAGTAGGTGACAGCTTGCGTCACTACAGGTCAGCGTCCTCAGTGAATGACAGTTCGATAACTCTTACGTTTTAAAAGTGTATTTTCATATTATGTCTTCGTTAACACGGAAACTTTTTAAAATTATTCCTATTTTATTATACATTACATAAGAAGTTTCCACTGAATGGGGTTATAAATCTGTATTCTCCACAACTTCTCCAAAAATTTGAGTGCGTATTAGGTCTGCTAGAGGTCAGAGAATTTCCCTCTTAGTGCCATTCACACTGGCGTTAAATGCTCTATATATTGCAGGTCTACATCTGTCACTCGACAGACACATGCCTGTAATTGTCAACAAGACCTCCAATTACACCATATTGCATTTTGATCTGTCAGTCAACAGATGCCACTAATTGTAATTGAGACGGAATTTCATTTTGTTACATTATATGTCCTTGTACACAAGGTGTGTGTACGTTCTATGACGTTTGAGCTGAGGTTCTTAGTTGCTACTTACTTTATTTAAAGAAGCATAGTTTTAGGAGCGTCGAATATTAGAATTGTTGAAAATAAGGAATTCTAAAGAATGGGTGAGAAGACAGTTGAAGACTATTTTAAGATGTTATTCAAGGATTCTCACGAGGAAAATCTCGAAATACCTCAGCCAATATGGGCTACCTCTAACAAAGGATGTACTGAAAACAAAGCGGGAATGCTAACCACTGGACTTCTACGTACGACATTTCGTGTATGCCATGTGTTTACTTCCAGTGTCCTTATTAATACTACTCATGGTCTGTATTGTCTCTTAAAAATTCTATTTTGAAATATGGGCATGCTTCTTTAGAATTTCAAATACATTTATTTCAGTGAAAAATAAGTTAAGACCGTGTTATGTATGTTATATTTTATTCTTATTCTGAAATGTTATAAAATATCAATAATTATTAAGGGCCTTGTAACGTTTTACGTCCAAGCTATTTGTTGTTCATATCTGTCTAAAGTTTTGTAATGTCGCCCTCTGACTTGGATTTATATTGGCGACTTATTCCATAATTACTATTAAATTATCGATCAGGTATTGTATTCTCTGAGGAAATTTGGAGATCCGTTTTTAGGAAATAAACAAAGGTATATGAAAATAAATAAAATATCTCAATAGTAATGTTGGCGTTGCCAAAATCTTTGTGGATACAAACAACATGAAAATATCTTCATCTTTGCTTAGTTGATTTTTATCGTATTTCGAGAATTAAACAATACGGTGTTATATTTCGTCTTTTTAAATGAAGAAATAAAATACCGATCGATCAATCGATTGGCCAGAAAATGAGCCAACCGACCGAACTGTCATTTAATTAACTAACTAACGGATATGATGTGTTCCTGCTAAGCAGGTAGGTTCATTTCCTGGTGACTGATCCTCCTCCTACGCATTGATCACACACACGTTATTATCTGCTCTCGTCATCTCATGAACACTTCCACTCAGTGCGCCAGAGATTGCCAGTAAGCTTCCCGTAAATTGATGTTGGTTTGACAGCCAAATTTCATGCATGAATAAGTATAGCGACACTTTTACGTTATGTGCATTAACATGCAAATCACGGTTTTTGGGCTTGAATTTATTGAGGTTTATTCTGTTTCATTTACATTCTGGAATTACATTTATTTCTTTTTTAATACTTGTGTGGTGTATTAGTGACGTACACACCAGACTATTTCTTCTTCTCCCAACACTCTTCCCCTCGTACTTCTCAGTGGCCCCGTCTGTATCTGAACTAATAATCACGGTAAAAATATTTGTTATTTCTGTCAGATTTAATTTATAAGCGTAAATTATTCACCGATTGATCATAAAATATACTAATTATTAATTTATAACGGTTAGTAGCTAAGTAAATTGGAATGAACTATTTTAAGAAAAGAAGGCGTCATAAATTGTTCTCAGAACTTGTTATATAATGGCGGAACGCAAAGACACATGACTTCCTGCCTTATGTATGAAGTGTTCTATTATTGACTTGAAAGGTAAGCTAAATTCTCGGATCGAACAGAATTGTAGTGTAAGAATTTCAAACCACACACAACTACAGCTACTAACGTCTGTGTGTATTCACGTAGGAGGATATATTTCCAACATACTTTTTCTCAAACGCGTCACTACTCTAAGGTCTTAAGGTTGATCGTAGCCGAAGAGATCTAATATTGTAGTGTCTCAAGGAAATAATTTAAGCGTTAGCTAAAACTGAGCCAAAAATAATTTTGTAAATAAAGGCACGGAGACTCAAATAAAAAATTGTATTGTACTTCTGCCATCTTAATTTAATTTTGAATCACATGGGCACAATCTAACAACTTGCCTACGTGCTGGAAGTAAGTTTTATGTAAACAAATGAAGGATATGCCAGATTCTTACCACGACCAGTCGATTTCATAGTTAAACCTTGCTCATTAGTCCATTCCTCCATTTGATCTGTAATTTCTGGAATTTGTTTGGAACGTTTCCCGCTTCGTTGTGTATACAAACAACAGACGAATGTTTGCGCATGAGGCCTATAAAATTAAAACAGTTGAGCAAACACACATAAATCGAAGGAGGAACAGTTTCAGAGTATTTTTGGACGTAGGGTGTGGCTAGGTCACGAGCGTTGATGGCCTCTTGCCACTGTGGACGCTTATGACTCCAGACCTGCCACAGGCTTCAATTAAAGCGATCCGTTTTGTTATATTCAGTGGGAAAAGGACACTAGACACATTTCTAACAACCTGCTTAGTATACGGTTTCTGAGAGTAAATTATTAAAATCGCAAGGTGAGATTTTATTTTTCACTGCATCGAGTACTGACGATGACTGATTTATGGGATGTTACACTAACTTGCCGATTAATCAGAGGTTCTTGCTGCCTCCATAATCGGGGTTATCGTTCAAACTTTGGTCGAATCAGGCCGTAACGAGTATACAAATGATTCCCTGACTGTTAGATTTCTCTATCACGCAGAACAATATATTCTAATTACTTAAGTATTTCGAATCAAATTAATCTGTTATGATCAGCTATAATTGAAGAATTTGGTATATCGTGCACTAGATTTTTATACTATGAGCCAGCTTTGATAAAGCTGTTTAAACTTCTAGCTAACTCGTTTTATGAGAAACTAATATTGCGCTGAGCTAGTCAGAAATTCCCACCTTTTTTCAAACCTGATTATTATTTTCCGTATTCACAAGAACCCGCCAGTGGATCCTATCCTGAGACAGATAAATATAGTTCAACTTTCATAATTTATTTCTTTGAATTACATTTCAGTATTATCCGTTGACTGTCTCTCCAAATACAATGGACCGATTCGAATAAATATTCAGTTTTCACATTTACTTTATTGTACGCAGAACAACACAGTATTGAATTAAAATCTGTATAGGTTTTCACAGCGGTAAGCATGAAGATTTCTGTCTTCTGGGTTGTTGCGCCCTGATGACGGAGGCAGTATGACCTCTGAAACGTTGGTAAACATCGACCAGACTACACAGCGCAACAACCCAGAAGAGAGAAATCTTCAATTAAAATCTGATGCGTGATAATGTAATATTCGGACAGACTGACAGTGCAACCACTGTATTATGATTTCACTTTTCACATTTCGTGTAATGTACATCTGTACCCCTGACAGCGTATTTGCCGTGTAGTGTAATTGTGGGCAATGCTTTATTGGTGTATCTGTTCCAGCGGTGATTCTATACATCAACTGCTACAGTGTGAACCTGGCAACTGGCGTGCAGAACGTCTTCACAGCAGCAAAATTGGTCGCCATCCTGATAATTATCTGTGGTGGCGCCTACAAACTGGCTGAAGGCGAGTACGCAAAAACCTTTCCCATTCCCACATTCATTTATTTCTTTGCTTAGTCATTTAAGTTCGCTGTGCTGTTAATTTAAGCATCCTTTAAATCCTTTTTTTTTTACTGCGTTGCAGTACATGTGATGTATCCGTTTATGTAGCTATAATGCCAACAGTTAATTTCAGTGTCCTTTATATATTGTGTTTTGTACATTAAGCTTGTTATACAATTAATTTTACTGTGTTGTATTACGTTACATACGACGAAGGGTTACGTTTGTATGCGTTTGAATATGTAGAAGGTCTACAAGTTAAATGAACAGTTATTTCCAGTAATTTTTGTGTTTCGTCTAGGAAACTGTTGAACTGATTTTGATGGAATTTGACATTGGTCTCTTAAAGTAAAAATATTCTTGAGGAAATGGAGCTTTGATACTTATCGGTCTAATAAAAACTCCTGAAGAATGTAAATTACGAAATAACGCTTTCGGAATATATACGTAGCCTATGTTATTGGAATACACAGGCCGTTCCATTTAAAACGTAACACTAAAATATATGAACCACGCACGAAATGATGAGACTAATGGTAATATATAATTCGTGCAGCTGATGGTGTAAGTTCTAAACCAGAACGGCCATGGTTTCCTGTTTTTCCCCCTCGATGAGCGCTTGTGTCCCGGAAATGTTACCTGTCGGTTTATTGTCTTAGTCAGTAGTTTATTGTCAGGATACACATTGTGAAATACTTTACGGATAGCAACAAATGATTTTACGATCTCGTTCGAGAATTAACCTACGTTTTACTCGTCAGCACATCTTGTTCGCACCTGCACGCTTCAGCATCGGCGTAGTAGCAAAGATGATCTTGATCTGGGCCTGGATTTGATATTTTTAAGCTGTAGTACCTAATTTTTATTACGTTTCGTTTTAAATGGTACGCTCTAAATATGGTCACTCTGGTCTTAAAATATTACACGTAGATTATTATAAATGTGTTTAGGAGTAAAGAAATGTTTAAGGCGATGTTGCCAGAAAGTAAAAAGGAATTGCTTATATTACGTAATTAAGAATTTACTTAGGATTAGCAAGCAGATCGGTGTGAAGATACCTCTGTTGACTTGGGAGAGCGGCCAGTGATTCGAATCTCGGCTGGAATAAGATGAAGGTGTCTCTACGAGAGACTATTGGAACAGTACGGTAAAATAGACCACGAACGCCTCCTTCCAAATCCCATCTTACTTACCACACATAAACAAATAATACAATTTCATGACAGTTTCTTGGTGATGTGCGGATGTTGTGTGTATTTGGATTGGATCCAGAAAACGACAGAATGATGTGAGATGTGTCAGCTTGAATTGTATTATGTTTGGATTGAATCCCATCCTAGACCTTGTACTACCAGATTCCCTTACTTCTTAAAAGAATCATAACATAGGTTAATTATTTTATTAGCACTCACAGATAAAAACGTTTGTTTTAAATTACCCGTTCGGTTAGTTATAAGGGACTTTGTTTATAACGCTGTATCAATTAGTGATGTTATGCAGCGTCGAGTAAAATACGATATGAATATTTCACATTATGGCCGCCTATGGATGTGAAAAAATTAACCTTGCGGCCGTATTCGAGTTCAACCCATAATCTGACTACAAGGGTTAATGAAAAAAAGAAAAATTTCAAGGTAGCTTGTCTCGTGATAAAAAAACAGCGTCCGATCCTCCGATATCACAGTGTCATAATCACCATTGACATGCACAGCCTTTGCGTGTATTTTAACTCGCCATCTTTGTTTGAAGCGCTCAGGAACTTTTGGTTACAATTGTACCGTTTTTTTGACATTCTGTTTTCTATTCTGTATATGTGTTGTAGACAATTATTTCGGCAGTCTTTTGTTTCACAGATAATACAGTAGAACATCGAATGTCGGCAGTTATTTGGGAAAGTAGGGGCCTGGTTAATCGAAAAATACGGTTAATGCAAATTACATTTTTTTAGAATTGTCGTCATCATCTATGTAAGCGAAATACGAGCTTATACATATTTTTACACAGAAACACGGGCATTCACATTCAGGATAATCGATACTGTGCTATATTTGGAACGTGTTCCCAGTCTAGTCTCGAAGAAATGTTATTTCTGAAGATTTTAATCTTCCTACACTTTCTTATTCAATACGGAGTTATCACCCCAAATTTCCAGTAAATTTCTTTTCTTAAGAGTCTTGAATATTAATCGAATGTCATTCTGTGTCGAACAGGATTTATCGTTACTGATTGTGTCCTTCTGAGTTGTGACGCCTTCGAGATGGCGTGTTGTCAAAATCCAGAATTCTACGATCGATGCTTTCTACAGATACGTCTACACACTTTTTTCCTTTTTGGTTTAACGTAATTTTTATATTTGCAGCGAGAGTTGCGCCCAGTGGAGAGGTTATTGAAAAATTGTGCCTTGTACCTATTCTATTCTGGCAGGACCTTATTTTCTTGTATATTGAAATGCAAATGGCGTCCGTGCGTTTATAGAAACAGCTTTTGTCAGTCGTAAATATTACTGAAAGCGTACATGTGAACTCGATTCAAAATAGAATTAAACATTTCTATACTTCTTGACGGTAAATACACATAATTCTATAAGGCTTTCCAAAGCTTTGAATGTTAGTAATGTAAGCTTTTGTATAATAGATTTGCCTAAGCATGTATTTCAGGACGCATTTTACAGACGGGCGCTTCAAACTTAAATGGAGTATTTTGAATATGACTAAATATTATGTGCCCTCTTCATAGTAGCATCTCAAAGTTGTTATGAATGGCACATCTAAATATTTTCGAGTTGCAGATAAAAATTTGTTTGCAGTTTCTAAAAATTGTGTAAGAATCGATTTTGAAAAATTATATTGTATGACTGAAACTCAAGGAAAATCATGTCTGTAACGCTAGTCAACAAAGAATATTCCGAAAGTGTGAATACACAGAAGTTTTATGTTAGAATATTAACAATTCCTATTGTAATATACGTATATTTTATTGAAAACCTTTTACTAAATCAATGATACATCTGGCAACCAAAGGAGCTTAGCTGGAGATGAGAAGATATTACTAATTCCAACAAAGTTCACTTGCTTGATTATTAAAATTTGTTTTGTGGAACTGTTTTGTTACGTACAGGCACGAACGCACTCTATATTGCGTTTTTACATGCTTATTTCAGTTACCATTTTCTAGGAAATTACGTGGTGACACTTATAGTTAATTACTTGCAATGACTTTAAAGGTGAAACTTGACTAATTAGTTTGCCACTTTGTATTATTCGGGATTTCTTTGTTCAAATCTCGGCCCGGAGACCGGTTACGTTGACTTGAAGAATTTTCGTTGTTTTTCTCAGTCCCTCCAAGTAAATGTCGATACTGTGCTTTATATATACCACGGCCGTATCCTTTCCAATTGGTTATTAATTACTCATTTTATAATTCAGTTCTTGTAATCTGAGCTAATGTGAGCCCTGCTAAATAAACTGTTAATAAATAAATAAATAAAATTATGTATATTCATAGCGTGCCAAGAATGATGGTAATCATATACCTCATTTAAAGGCTACATGTTGCTAATTGAAAATACTACTAAGAGAATATATTAGAATGAATGAAAATGTAGATGACCGTCGTGTACCCTAGCAGAATTTGACCTGGAGACAATAAGCAACTCTGAAACGTCGGTCAAACTCTACGAGACTAAACAATGGTTTCAGATGATTCTAAGAATAAACGATAATTTCCTTAAACAATATAACAAGTTGGTCTTTGTAATTGAGACGCGTTGTTAAAGGGTTGAGATTTACCCTAGACCTTGAACTGTGTGTGGGCACAATTGATAATTAATTGTAGCATAATGGAGGACAGCAGACGAGAGAAATTCTCACCGAAATTTTCCCAGACCAAAAGGTTTCACGTGATCGGCACAGTGCATGTAAAGAGGGGTGGGACTTCGTAAACCGCGTCGATGTGAATGGTAACGCGGCCGGCGCAGATTTCTTGGGACGCTATGACGTCACAACAGGGCTTCGGATCAATACTAAATCCTGACTCATCCCCCTACCTCACAAATAAAACCCGTTCTTCAACGAGGGCTTTCTCATGAGGACAAGAGACGTGCTCTATCTAGTATGGAATCTTTGAACTATGTAAACTCCGTGACAAATTTTGATGAAGATGATATTTCAGGTTCCACAAAAGCATGGAATTTCTTGAGGAGCTGGGAAACCATCAAGTAGTCTCATGGTAAACATAATACTTTAAAGTGAACGCATAATGGGGATTTATGGTTAGTTTTTCGGTTCGTAGTTCCCGAAGCCACTGAAGTGATTTGATTAAAATACAAGACTCAAATATCTTGTAGATATTTTTCGTTCATATTTGCCCACTTCAATCCGTATTTCATTATTTAAATTGTGATCTTGATGGCTAATTAATTAATTCATTCATTCATTCTTTTTTAACTTAGCTACTAACTCTGATAGACTGACGCTTAATCAAAATTAATTTTTTCGAACTTTTTACTGAAGTAATTTTATTATTAATTCAGGGTTAATACAGGTACAGAGTTGTCTGTTACAACTGGAACAAAGAGGAAAATTACTACAAACACAATAAAATTTCTAAAACACACGCGGAACTTATTTTGGGCCAGAACTAGAAAGAAATAATAATTCCTCGTTTATTTTAACGGTCCTTTTAGTATATTTTAAAATAATGTGGTAAAATATTAAAATTATTAAGTTCAATATGACTACTACTATTGATTACTTTAGGGTTGTAATTAAATTCGACTAAACATAGTGTAATTCTAGGTACCGGATCGAATTTCATATTTTACAATATAGTTTGACAAACGTACCTTCGGAACATCTTATTTTAGCTTCAAGGTAGAACTTTGTTCGCAAAAACACCTCATATCGGGATTAAATAGCAATTTTTCCTCTATTCCATCACTTCTAGGCCCCACAGGAAAACGCTGTGCCCTTGGGAACCAAAATTGTCTTTGTCTTGAGCAGAAATCTTCTAGCGATTTTCAGTTTCCCTTATCTCTAACACGTCATTTCCAGACTCGGCATATAAGGAAGCAATGCACGTTTCCTTGTTATTTCGATACTTTAATTTATTGAAGATCCAGTTCCCGTGACGTAAAACTTGATAGTTACATGAATAATGAAACAATTGGCGTGTCTCGAATAACTTTACATAAAGGAGGCCATGACATATTTGAATTAATTGAAGTCTGGTTACCAAAACTACCACAGTGCAGAGTTACTGACTTATTGCGGTGGTGGTAGGTACATGTAATTATCACTGGGTTTGAACCAGTTAAGAAAAGAACCCAAACCTCCAGCACATAAGCATATGGAAATATTATTTTTAATAATATCCGCAATAGTACGAGACCCATGTGCTGGAGACAGTATGGATGATTATAAAGATGGTATAGTTATGGTTAGTGAGTATTTAAAATTGTTGTTTGTTTTACATTTCTATGTGTTAACGCAAAATATTGAACAACATTTAGTGAATAAAGTCTGCTGGTTGCATTAACAAAACTTCCACATCCTTTCTTGTCGATATTTTATCTCTCTTAGGTTTTAACAATTTATCATGTTCGCAGATGACATATTTCCTCGTGGCTGTATCCATTACGGTAATGTGTTCTTTGTTTTAATGTAGGAAATACTCAGCATCTGGAAAATGTATTCAAAGGCACGACCTATTCCTTGGGGAACATCGCCACTGCGTTTTACACAGGACTCTGGGCGTACGACGGTTGGAATAACCTCAACTATGTTACTGAAGAGATCAAAAACCCATCTGTGTAAGTACGGAGTCATGCTCTTGCATTAATTATTTATTTGTGCCATAACATGAGCCATCTGACAGGTAAAACTATGTAACGCGTTCGGAAATTAAATTTGAAAAAAAAATGAATATCGAAACGCAATGTAATTGAATGTTATTTGGAAAAAAATGTTTATAGAAAAAAGTATAATATTGAATGACATTTTTTAGCCTTCAGCTTCAATTGTAATTAAGTTAATAGTAGTTAAAGAAGGTTTTTAGAGATTAATGTTTGCGTGCTTAATATTGAAAGGATATTTAAAGATGGAAAGGATTGTTTTAGTTCTTCCTTTTGAGTTCTTTGCCGTGGTAGCTATCTCATATTTCAATTGCAGTCTCACATCCAAAGTAAACAACCACCTTTAAGGGTACCTCACCGTGGAGGCCTTCCTTGTTGTCACAGGTACGTCCCAGCCAACAGAACCTGCGTTAGTTTACACATAGTGGGTCATGGTTATACCAGTGCCTTAACAGTCACTTCAAAATTTGTCAAATATCTTGTTTCAATAAGGTTCACTTTGAAATGTACTTACATAGTACAGTGACACTTATTAAAATTTATTTGAAATCATGGCTTCGAAGTTAAGGTTTGAAGAGAATTGACATAAATTTCATTGCAGATGGCCTAAGGTATATTTTGTTTGTAGGTTTATTATGTAAGATTTTAGAGTTAATTTAGAATCTTTGTGTATTATCTCATTTATTGAATTTTCTGGAATATATAAGACTTTTCTACCAAATAAACAGCAGTTCTACCGATTGTTTTACAAAGGCGTTGAGAAACAGATTAACGAGTTATTTTCAAACTTTTATCTGGGTGCAAAGCTGGCGCATCTTCTGTCATTATTGCCAAAATGACATAAATTTCGTCCTGTGATGCATGTGTTATTAAATATTCCCTTAGGCTGTGACTGGTTTATTAACAGTCAGTTTTATATTTACTCTGCCGAAATTTAAATTCGAATTCTGTGAAATTTGACAATTTGAAGTGACACATTTATAACAACTTAGTAGTGACTGGCAGACTTTCTCCTCATTTGCTGAATTCTTTTATAATAGACTTCACTGCTTATGTGAGAAAATAATTTATTTGAGATTGATTTAAATATATTTTGTGTGGATATTGTTTTGAATTTGTTGAAGATTAGAACACGTGTAAGGTAGAAACGTTTGTTCCTTACAGACCTTCGTAGATTACTTAAGTGTTCTTATAACAACACATTGTTTATTCGTGTTTTTGAGGTTATGTGAAGAATTAACATGACGACGTCTGTTTTAAAAGTTTAAGCTGCCAAATAAACATTCGTTTGTTTTTAAGGCAGACTGTTTTGGAGGGGCTCCGCCATAGACTTGTTATATGCAAGGTGAATTAAATGTGTTATTTGTGCTATATCTTCAGATTACTGTTTTTCTGTGCCGGGCACTTTTGGAATTCCTTCGGGGACAAAGGAATTTTGACGTTGGATTTATATTCAGTGCTTCTTAAAACATAGTTCACCTAAATTTTTATTAACCTTAAAAAATTATGTTCATAATAGTGTTACATTAATACAGTATTTATCTGAGTTAGGAATAAAAAAAACATTGCTTTCGATGTAATATGCGTCATATTTGTCATAAATTTTAATATTCGTATTGTCTGTTACGTTTAAAAATTTGAGTTAGTGGGCGGTATTAAATAATTGGAAATGTTAATTATAAAAGTTATTGGAAATTGAGTATCACAGTGGGCTTTTCTTATCAATAGGAACAAATTCTAAAGAAATACTACATGTATGCGAAAGATGAATTTGTTACAAAGAATATTTCTTTGTCGTAACTGAACATTTTTTTGATATCGTAGAAAGTTATCGGCGAAAGTAGATTATAATTTTTAAAATATATAAAGATAAAATCGATTGTTGTTTGTGATAGGTGCTGATAAAATACTTTATCAGATGTTTTTCGCTATTATTAATGTTTGAAATTATTCATTATTTTAAAATAAATTATATTTTTCAGTTGCCCCGAATTAATTCCATTGTCACGTTCCAATGCTTTATGAAAAGATAATAGGTACTGCATTCGCCTGATATTGTAAATCTTTGGTATACATAATTTACTCCAAAATTTATTTGGTATACCATGATCATTTTGTTTCTTTTGCGTTGAAGTTTGGTCACACTTTGTGAACACATAATTTAGATTACATTTATTTTTGGCTTAATAGTTTGAAATACAAACGCATTTGCAGATTTTCATTCGGCATATTGGAAATATTTTCAATTCACTAAATTTATGATAATGTACATTATACATTATGTTGGAGAAGGTTACTTTCAAAAATAATTTAAATAGCTCGGCGGTTAAGAAACAGAAGTGAGACTATATTGATTGCACTTTAGAACTATTTGTTACACACACAGTTCGGTGTACTTAAATGTATGCATAATATGTTGCATGACGCACTTAAATGTTGTAGTCAATTTCATTCGGAACTTCTGATGTTCAAATATGGACGTTGTCACTCTGTGCGTAAGTTTCAGTCTTAGTTAAATAAGAACATACTCTCAAAGACTTTACCAAAGAATGCGATTGGCTGCAACCAGAATTATTATTGCCTTTCTCCACTTGATTCTTTGTCTTATAATCAAATTATTTATTGAACTTATCCTTCACCGAGGACAAGAAACGCATGATTCTCTTGCAACGGAATAATCGATTCTTTTGTGCTTTTATCGCCGAGATATGAAAGTTGACTTGTGAGCACCTCTCTTAACATTTTGTATATTACATTAGCGATTTTGGAACTGGCTTTAAACATTTTGAATTTTGGAATTCTTTTTAGAAAGTAAGATGGATTAGTCGCAGAGCACTTTTGAGAATAAGAACCAAGCAGACAATAAACGAACCATGAAACTGTCACAATATTGTTTAATGTAAACCAAATTGTATGGAATACTGTTGTTTCAAATTCATCCACTGATTAAACAGGAACAAAAATACAGCCAGAAATGTTAAGACTTCTATATGATTAATTTGGCTAACCTTCTCGTTTTAAGATCTCGTGACATTTAGAGACATTTTCTCTTGCCTTTTAGAAGTGAGCTGAAGTTCAGTCAGTAATTTCTATGCTTTATAAGGCGAGAGATTCTTTATCAATTTTCTTATGTGGACTTATGTAATACGTTCTTATTATGAAGTGCTCTGTCTGACATTCCATTCTTTCGATATAACGCATTTTTTTTGTTATTCTTTGAAAACCTTTTAAGAGATGGTTATGCTTATGTGACAGCTCTTGAGCTTCGGAATGGGAACATTTTAACTACTGTATTTTAAGGTGTGCTATTCTTTATTAAAATGATCGTACTGAAATTTTGAGAAACGCTGGCAAAGAAGTCTGTACGATATCACAACGAAAGGACCAAAACCCACATCTGCAAATGAAGACGCGCTATGCCGTTATAGCAAGGGACCCATCCAACACAACATGGCGCGTCGCGTCTACATTTTCCGATGGAGAAGGCGGTTTCCAGAGTTATAAAACATCAGATCTGATGTAATAGTTATAAATCATTTTTAAAATATTAATCGGAATATATTTCACAATTCTTTCTCTTATACTTGCCTAGAACTGTGTAATTTATAACTACAAATAATCTTTTTCCACCTTTTCTACTTTATGTTTGGTGTCATGCAGACTTAATCGTTAAAATCTAATTTAAGTAAGAAAGCTTAGTAGCTTTCAGTCTCGTATGCAGGATACCCGAAAAATGCTGTGGTTTCTCAATGAACAACAACAATAATTCTTGCGTTGTTGAGAATTGTTTTTCTTAAGACCTTTCAGTCTGGCCATTTTATTTAAGATTTATGTTCTGATTGCTGGAACAGGGCACATCCTGTAATACAGTTGTGAAAATATTTCAAATGTTGAAGTTCAAACTACAAAGGCACCTGTCACCATCTTTGCAACTCTTATGTTGGTATCTGACGAGCTGACAAGCACTCAGTCGCTAAACCGACGTATCAAGCATTTTCACACTCTCTCACCAAACGATGACGATCTTTGTTTTCTCACGGTTAGATACCCTTAAATTTTGGTGTCCTTGCACTTTTAAATTTATGAACTTCATTATTTTATTTCAAAATACAACTATTTTTGATGTCATTTGTTGTTATCATATATACATATATAGTGTCTTGCTGCCATGGTTATTAATATTAATGGTTTAGGGACTCTGATGATTTTGGCCGCCAACAATTTGCCGTCCTTTAATGTTTAGTGTTTGAAAAGAAAATGTAAGATGAATGAAAATTCATGTTGCCCCTGACCGGTACGGTTCTGCAACCCAAATGACGTGTGGCTGCTGCGCGCGGCTGCATACATCAAGGGGCTGTATGAACTCAGGATCGACTCAGGTTTGTATAAACTCAATATAGGAACCACCATTTAGATTATCTGCTGTTCGCACGATATAACGTACGAATATCGACGGTGTCTGCTGTTACAGAAGTGACTGGGCTGGTCCATGGATCTGCATTGCGTTTTAAACGCGTGAAACTTGACGCTTTACAATGGGAAGGACAAAGTTTGAGGACTCCTGAACCATGTGCAGGGGAAAATATTTGGACCTAAAAGGGA